CCTACCTAGGTTACCACGTAAGTCCAGACACATCAGACACGCAACCAACCAATTCACAAACAACAATCCACAAGCACACATACTTGGACTCTCGGCACACGCAACCTGCACATTAGTCCATACTCATAACAATTTATTTCGCACGCACATGCCACAACATACGAACTTTCCACATATCAATTCACCCATCAATCACACCACATTTCCAACCCACTCGTCGTACCCACATTTCCTCAAACACCTTCCCGGCCCGCGTCAACACGCCTCGGCCCACTCGACCGCGCCCTGAGCATCACACGCCTCGGTCCGATCCCATTCACACGTTCTTTCCTCAGCCCGCGCCAAATGCGACAGGCCTACCTGATCGAAACCCGAGCTTATAATGCCTCGGTCCGATCCCGGTCTCACCCGAGCTGATCGTGCCTCGGGCCAATCTCATTTCCCATTTCCTCAATCCTCAGCCTGTGCCAAATGCGACAGGCCTACGTGATCGCGACCCGAGCTTACGACGCCTCGGCCCGATCCCAATCTCACACTCGCACACATTCGCATTTAATTCCGTGCACACAATGGCACCCAATAAATCACAACCACACAGTCATATCACAAAACACACGATCAACACACAAACTGGCATTTTTCCACACCAAAACGTTATCAAATCAGTTCAGGCCCTTCACGGCATTTTCACAGAATCTCAAGCCGGACCTAACAGTACCAACCACACTACAAACAGCACCCCACAGCACCTAAAACCACACATCACAGCCATCAATCAGCCTTTTTCGCCCTCAAAATCACCATATCTCACTCCCGGCTCTTCACGGCACTTTCATAAAATTCTGAGCCAGATCTAATGGCACAAACCACACGCCCAACAACACATCACAACACTTAGAACCACACAACACAGCCATCAATTTGCCATTTTCACACTCAAAATCACAATATTTCATTCTCGGCTCTTCACGACACTTCCATCAAATTACGAGCCGGTCCTAATGGTACTAACAGCATACCGAACAGCCACTCACAGCACATCACACGGCATATCACAGCCAGCAAACAGTATTTTCTGCACCCAAAATCACAATTTCACGCTTCCGACTCTTCATGACACTTGCATAAAATCCCGAGCCGGACTTAACGGTACCAATCGCGTCTCAAACAGCACCCCACAGCATACTGAATAGCACATCACAGCATTGATCGGCCTCTAAAATTTCCGTCAAAACTCTCCGAATTCATTCCTAGGCCTCGCAAATCAACTTTGCCCGCAAAACCATAACAACCCGTGTCTAGCTAGGTCCGAAACAACCCGATATACTAGATAAAGTTTAGGCCGCGACTTACCTAGTTCTAGACTCACGCGGCTAGAACGAAAGCGGCGGCAACCTAATCGGGAACGGCGGCGAACGGCGGCGCGGCTTGGTGGTGGCGACTGGCGAGCGGCGGCGGCGCGGCTCCCTTGGCCGAGACCCACGGCCACACGGGAAGGAGAGGAGAGAGAGAGACGGACGGCGTGGGGCTGGTGGCGGTGCAACGGCGAGGACGGCGCGGCACGGCGGCGGTCCGGCGGGCGGCGGTGCCAGCGATCGGCGGTCCGGGCGAGAGAGAGAGAGATCGGAGAGGCTCACGGTGGGGGGGGGGGGGTTTTTTTTCACGGCAAGGGGGGGAGAGAAATGCGAGAGAGAAATGGGTCTTCTTGACCTAAATAGTGTTCTTGACCCAAAACGGCAAATTACCAAAACGCCCTTGTCTAATCTTTTTGATCCAACGGTTCAGATTCGATCTAATCTTGAAATCGACGGCCCAGATCGAATCTTGCCAAAAAATCCAAGGGTAGTCTTGTAATTTGTCAAAAAGTCCAAGGGCAAAATTGTCTTTTCCGAACTTTGAGGGTAAAATGATCAAAATGCCCTCGCCCTTTAAAACTAACCCTTTAATAAATCCCAAGGGTAAAACGGTCACTTCCGCCGTTTCTCGCCGAAATCGAATTTTTCTGAAGGAATCGGGACCGTCCAAAATTGCACGTTCCATCCGCAACGTCGTCTTAACGTCCCGTTGTGACTTCCAAATTTTTCCGATGTCCAAATTGGGCTAAATTAAATAATCAAATTTTACTAAACGCAACTCGAGCGTTTCTCAAACTAACGGGCGGCTTGTTGGGGAAATTCGCATATCCGACCCGTGACTGATACTAAATCGAGTCACGTGCAATTTATTCAAACTGTAACGACTTCGGTTGTCAATAAAATCGCGAGGATCAATTACTAGATCCGAGGGGCACGATCGTTTGGTATAGGTTCAGGATCATGCGTCAAGTCATTTCGCGGTCCAGCGGAATCACCCGCGATCCACTACTATGATAGTGGCGAATTGTCCCCTGACTATCCTTGATCGGCCAACAGTGGCTCAAAATATCACCTCGACGATTTCATGGTCGAAAGTCCATTCACGATTGAATTTCTTTAGTCGTACAAATTTTAAATCCCTAATTAGCCTTTCCCTACTGGTTAGTATCCCATGAATGATCAGTTTCGGGTGAGAACTAACTACGAGTACATTCATAAAACTCAGTATTTTATAAATCCCCAAATGGACTAATTTTCAGAATGTCACACTTACAATGTCGTGACTCGTGAGTTTGAACTTGTTTGTGATTGTGGTCCAAGTACTTTTCACTCCGATGGGTGAGATTTTAGATCTCCAGCACCTCGGGTGGGATTATGGTGATGGAGCTTCTCCACGATGGAGCTAGTAAGCAGTCTTTGACGGCTCTAGCTACGTAAACAGATCATATTTGGTGTAGAGTTAAAGTCCTCTCTGCAATCTTAAATTCGCAAAATTCCATAACAGCAGATGGGTATGAAGCACGTTGGCCAAAAAACTGAATGTCATGGATCGATACGTCAAGTTGGCGAAGAGAATTTGAACAACGCGAATAATGCATTATTTCACTTTCTTTCGCTTCAAGTTTGAATACTTGATTCACAGTAAATAGTATCGTACAAATTCGATTATGAAAGATCTACATGAAACCTACTATCGATAATATCATGTAAGATTGCGATCAATGCACTCCATGATTAATCGCGTCTATAATAGATTGAGTCATAAATTTAATAGAGAAATATAGTTTAACTTGTTTAATTGATTCACAACATACTGTATATCCATAATTGTATATTAATACGAATTAATATAGGTTTTCCTTATTACTAGTTGCACCGCTTATCAGCTTCTGACATCCACTTTTACATTGACTTGACTACATTATCCCTCATGGGTCTCACTCTTGATTTAAAATTATTTCTTACTTTTTTTTTCTTCGTTTTCTTCTATTTCAATTTTACTAAAACGAAAATATTGGTACTTCTCTCAGACAACATTTATTAAATTAAATAAGGGGCCCCTTTTTTTATTTAAGATTATTGCTTGCCTTCTTTTATTTTATTTTTTAAATTTTTGGTTTTTTCCTTTTCTTTCTCCATTTATAACAAAATTGGTGTACCACTTTTCCCAAAAATAGTTTATTTGGTAGATAGCTAACTAATTATTGTGTTTCCAACAAAAAAAAACTAAGTTAATGAGTTGTCTATTTCTTTTTTTTTTGTACTGAGAAACTATTACTCAAAAAACAACTTAAGCATAAGTAAGAGTGAAAAAAATCATTTACAATTATAATTTTAATATTCTTCATTACGTTGTAGTTCATGTATTTTAACCGCTCAACTTTCATTTTATTCGGTGAATGTAATAATCTAATTTTTAATTATTTATCGTGTGATGCATTCAATATTTTGAGTGATCATGATCCGTTCTTCTTTTTATAACAAAACACTCTAAAAGGCCAATCAATCAAAGGAGGTCCGGTCTTTCTTCTGACTTGCAATAGGAATATTTTGTCGATCATGATAATTAACTTTCATATCACAACTAAGAAGAACATATTTGTCTCTCTTTGACCTTTTTATAGAAACAAACTAACCTTAAGCAAGAAGATACGTCCGCACACTTCTCAAAAGATCCTCTCGAGTTCGACAATTACCTGGTAAAGTTTCAAATGAACTTGTTGAGATGATTGATTACTATTTTCACCATTCATACTTTGATCATCAATAGATACATTTAAGCAGAAAACAATAGTGTCTTTCCATAGTGACTGTACAACAAAAAACAATACAATCAAAGATGAATAAATCGTGGATAATGCAAACATCAATCATGAAAATGGAAGTCTTTGAGTAAATTCTCGTAAATTTGTACCAAAAATGGAAGTCGAAAAATTCACAACCATGAAAATAATCTAGGGAAGTAAAGTATACAATTTGCAGATAAAACTAATATTTCTTTATTCTAATACATGATTAGTGCTTGGTCAGATTGTAATGTTGGAAATAAGTTCAGAAGAGGATAAATACCAAGGCAATGTAACGGGTGCGGAAGAAGTGGCTTCCATGAAAAAAATGTTATTTGGAAGGGACGTTTTCGTCTTTTAATAAAATTGAAAAAACGAAGGAAGAATAAACATAAGAAATGATTTTAAATATAGAATGGGACGTGCATGAATTATCCTCATCCATAGCTTCATTATAATATATATTGAAGAGAGTCAACTTCCTCGTATCGCTCAACTCACTACTGTCCTAAATCGAGTTTCGTCCTTGAACCGGAGATTTTGCTCCGATCGTGTGAAAAAACCCAAGGGTCGATCTTGCTTATCCTGCGAAACATCGCGCCATTTCGATCGTCTCTCTCTTCTTTGATTCGAGTGCGCAGAGTGACTCGTCTGCTCTGCACTTTCTAGAGCATCCGTAGCGTCTGTGATGCGGAAAGATCGCATTTTTTTTTTGGTGCGCATGCAGTCATGACTGACGAAAAATTCATTGACCCGTCGTCATGTGGGAGTTTGTGATAAAGGTTCATGTGGGTGGGTGGTTGGGCTAGCGCAAGATTCGGAAATGGTTGCGCTGACTCGTTCTCGGGATCGTCGTAGCGTGCTGATAGGTTCAAGGTTCGGCTATGTGTGACTTCATGAGTCACCCGAGCTTTAGAGGAACGGCGAGCATGTTGATGAAGTATGGTGCCATGTGCGAAATGACTTGGGTTGATTACTGGCAGAATATGACAAGGACTTGATTCTGTTCTAAATTTATGAGCTGCGTGTGGCTTTGATGTTGATTGCGTTTCGATATGTTTGCGTGCTGTAGTTATAGCTGTAGATACGGCGAGGGATGTGGGTGCATTACGATCGCCATTCCATACTTTTCGCTCTTCTGTTTAGACTTAGTGTGAATTCGTGCGGGCACATTCAAGTTGCAGATATGCCGTTAGTTTATGGTAAATTGTTTTAGATCTTTTGTAGGTTCATTTGCTTGATGTGGTATTTTGTGTGCTCTTAGTAAGGGTATGCAATGGACTAGTGACATACTTTGAAGTAAGATGATATGATTTTGCTAGTTACGTCGGTATTTGTTTATAAGTTGCATGTTGATTCTAGGACCATATATGAAGGGAAGAGTATTTGTAGGGCTATTGTTGTGGTCACCTTTTTGTTGACAATCAAAATTCGCGGAGTCACATGTAGGAGAAATTGTTAAGCTGTTGAGTTAATAACACTTAATATTTTTATTCAGGAAACATGACCGAGGATCCTGTCAACGTGAATGAGTATCAAGAATTGGCTAGGCAAGCCCTTCCGAAAATGTACTATGACTTTTATGCAGGTGGAGCGGAAGACCAGTATACACTTAAAGAAAACGTAATGCCTAATGAATGCTGGTCAGATTAAAATCTGCACCAACCATATTATGTTGTTTGTTAATTCTCAACACATGTATTTCTGGTAGGTTTAGGCCGAGAATCCTCATTGATGTGAGCAAAATTAGTTTGTCGACTACTATATTGGGCTATAACGTTGCTGCACCCATTATGATTGCTCCAACTGCTTTGCATAAGTTAGCACATCCTGAAGGTGTGAAACCTGAATTTTCTTGGAGGAGCTCTTTCACACATTTGCTTATTTTGAATTTAGGCTCCGTTCGTTTGGCGGAAAATATTCTTCCGGAAAATATTTTCCGGATTTTCCGGTGTTCGGAGGGCGAAAAACGTTTTCCGTGGAAAAATATTATCCTTCCCCCCTTCACAAAATAGCCTAAGTCTATGGAAAATGACTTCCGCTTCTTCAAAAGCGGAAATCATTTTCCGAAGCTTCTTCTTCTTTTTCTTCACTAAGGTCGCCGGCCACCACCGCCTCCGGTCGCCGGCCGCCGCGTCGCCGCCGCCCGGTCGCCGGCCGCCGCGGCCGCCGCCGCGGTCGCCGGCCGCCGCCGCCCGCCGGCCGCCGCGGTCGCCGGCCGCCGCCGCCGCCGGTCTCCGGCCGCCGCCGCCGGTCGCCGGCCGCCGCGCCGCGCTGTCTCCGGCCGCCGCCGCTGGTCGCTGCCGCGCGCCGCCGCCGCCGGTCGCCGCCGCCGCCGCCGCCGGCCGCCGCGGCCGCGCCGCCGCCGGTCTCCGGCGCGCCGCCGCCGGTCGCCGCCGCCGCCGCCGCCGCCGGTCTCCGGCCGCCGCCGCCGCCGCCGCCGCGCCGCCGCGGTCGCGGCCACCGCCGCGCCGCCATGCGCGGCGAAAAATATTTTCCGAAACTTTTTCATATTGGTCGCCGAACACCGGAAAATTATGTTCCGGGAAAACATTTTCCAGGAAAATGACTTTCAGGAAAATATTTTCCAAAAGGAGAATATTTTCCGCCAAACGAACGGAGCTAGTGATGCAATTTTTCCATCTTCCAGGAGAGGTTGCTACCGCAAGAGCAGCTGCTGCATGTAATGTCATCATGGTAATATATTACCAAATATTTGTTATCTTAATTTTGTTGCTATAACATACTCAATTCAACTTTTTACTCTAGATTCTTTCATATATGTCTATGTGCACTGTGGAAGAGGTCGCGTCCAGCTGTGATGCCATTCGATTATTTCAAATATATGTAAGCATCTATTTGATTAAGAATCTCCAGTTTTCTTGGCTTTTTACATTCTCCATTAAGATTTCATCTCCATAATGAGTGCATCTCTTATGCAGGTATACAAGAGACGGGATATTACAGCTCGGCTTGTACAAAGAGCTGAAAGAAGTGGATACAAAGCAATTGTTCTTACTGTCGATGTTCCCAGACTTGGCAGAAGGGAGGCAGACATAAAGAACAAGTAAAATGCTTTCCTCTCCCTCTCTTGCTCCCCCACCCCCATTGGGGCATGGATATCATGGTCATAAAACAAAGTTCGGGTACAGTTAACTCTCTCTCTCTCTCTCTCTCTCTCTCAGAATGGTAGTGCCTCAGTTGAAGAATTTTGAAGGTCTACTCTCAACTCAAGTTGTCTCTGTGAGTGAATGATTTCTTTTCTATTTGAGGATCTGTCGATAGCAATATAATTTTACCTATTCAATGGAGATTCATGCATGGGGATATATCTATGTTACTAATATCTCATTGACCAATCTCCTTTGATGGGCATGGAGGCTGTTTTCGTCATTATCTGTGTACCCTGTTATATGCTGCTCTATTTTTTCAGAGTTTGTAACTCTCTTTGACATTAGCAAGGTAGCAAAACAAAAAGAAATGCTCACTGTGGCATTGATGTTGTGGATATCATGGTATTAGGCTCAGCCTAGTGGAGATTTATTTAATGAACTCTGTGCTTCTCTTGTGCAAAGCTTGCCCTCGGGGCAAAGAGTATTGTATTCATTGGCTCTCTTTTTTCTATAACTGTTCCGTTTGATTATATCTGTGTCTGGAGGAGTTTTTTTTATGGTTCATTTGCTTAGAGAACATAATTTTTACCGTTGTATCTTGAGGTGAAGAAACAAGAAACAAAGGGTTTGGATATCGTGAGGCAACAGAAAATGTATGGTCAATACTTGACCATTGAAAACATTTTCGCTGCCTAAATAACCTTATAGAGATGACTCAAATTTTTATAGTTTGTTAATTGCAGAAATTTGGCATAACATCTCTCTCACTCTCGCTCCCCTTTTCCTTTGCCTCCGCTGCAAATTGCAGGATGAGGGTTCAAACGTACAAGCTTTTGCTGATTCAACTTTGGATGCTTCTTCGACTTGGAAGGTGTACCTCCATACCATCTTAAATTACTTTGTAATTAATCCTTGAAATTTTTTCTGGGTAATGTTTCATCAAAAGAATCGTGTTTTCTGAATGAATGAGATGTGTGAGGTAGTGTCATCCAGTGTGGAAATAGTTTTGATAGCTATCTTACAGTGACTTTTTTCATTCAATTTTCGTTTGTCGTCATGATCTACGAATGATAACTGGATCTTTATAATGTCTCTGTTTGCTTTATTTGGTATCTTGGTTGTCACGTAACTAAATTACAATGCTGCAGGACATTGGATGGTTGAGATCAATTACAAAATTGCCGATTCTGATCAAGGGAGTTCTTACACACGAAGATGGTAAGATCTAGGATTGTATTCTAATAGAAAAGCAGTTGAGGATTCGTCTGAAGACTGTTTTGTGTCTTAATTTGAAATATAGCTTACTTAGCATATTCATTGCTAAAACCAGTGTTCCAAAACCAGATTAGAGATTGAGCCGAATTGCTGTCCCATACCAGGTTGAACTGATTGATATCGGCTAAAATCTGTGGCTAAAAAACCTTTTGGTTTGGTTTTAAAAACACTAGCTTAGGCGAGAAGTCTTATTTTAAGATGGCTTAAGACCTGGAAAAATTTGCACTTTAAGGATCCTTTTAATTTTATCCCAGAGTTTAGTAGATATTACCTTGAACTTCATTAATTGCTTTAAATCAATCTGTCAACCAATTTTCAGGTAGCGTGGCCATAAGTAGCAACTGACAAGACCGTCTGTTTTGATCTAATTTGGCACTGATTCTTTTAATAGATAAAAATTTTAACCACATATGCATACATGAGCAAAGGGATCATTGCATTTGCAAGGAAAATAAAATGAATGTCAAGAATGATGGCTTGAGAACTCGTCACCTGTGCCAAAATCTATTTTTGCAATCTGATTTGTGCTAGATTTGACGGAATTCATTAGGTTTTTTCAATAGAGCAGATTCGTGTGCGTGCTGTTGTTTTATTTTAGATACGGTCTATAGTGAGCACCACATCATTGCCAGTTCATCACCGTATAAACAGTTCCATCAGTAATATACAATACATCGACACCATAGCGAACAGTTGGGTACACGATTAAATTGACATTGAAGGTCAGGATAGTGTGAAAACCAGTTTGAGGCTTAATGTAGAACTGAAAAAAATCCGTTCAGCAAAGGAGAATTTTGTGATAACTCGGGGTTTGATTGTATATCTAGTTTGTAGAGTGTGACCTCTAGCATTAAACTTTGAAGATTCTTCAGTTCATCTTGAAAGGAAACAACATTATGCCTCAATTAGTTTGGTAGTTCAAACACCATAGTCATTCTGTTGGGGAAGTCGTATGAGTTAGGAATTTTAATGGTAATGGGATATTGTCTGTCTTCATTTTGTCATCGCTGCTATTAGGACCTTGTGTTCTCTGATATTGGATTGAAGCATCTTATTCATCTATTGGAATTTCATATTGCTTCTCAGTATACTGTATCTGTTGTTACTGCTATTGGTTGTTGCATAATCGACAACCTTATCGACAAGCTTGTATGCCCTCATTGGCAGCGATTAAGGCAGTGGAAGCAGGTGCTGCTGGGATAATTGTCTCGAATCATGGAGCTCGACAGCTAGATTATAGTCCAGCCACGATATCAGTTCTGGAAGAGGTACGTATTTTTACTAACTCCTTTGTCCGGCAGGTTTAATAATAGATTCTAGAATTTGGAGCATTTGTAAACACAGGATAAGAATAAATGCACCCGGTTTTGATCCCTGAAAATAAAGCACAGTGGCATTCTGTTTCCCTCTATTTTTACAAATGCATGAAAGCTTGTGCTGCAGCAAGTCATCTATATCAAACAGCATTTTGGTCTTGACTTTTTGAACCTTCGTTTGTAGGTTGTTCATGCAGTCAAAGGGAAAGTCCCTGTTTTTGTTGATGGAGGAGTGCGGCAAGGATCAGATGTTTTCAAGGCATTGGCCCTCGGGGCACAAGCAGTACTGGTACAATCTTTTATAATTAGTTTGGCACATTCCTGATATTTCCCGATGTGGACTATGTGTTATATTAGTAAGGGATATCGTAACAAACCCTTGAGGTATTTACATGATAATATCGTGCCAAGTTAGTAGAAACTATCTTTTCACATTACCAAAACACTTGAATCACAAATGAACTAGTGCCCTATGACAAATGTTGACATTCTCTTAAATAGTGGTCTTCTTACTACAGATAGGAAGGCCTGTAGTATATGGGTTGGCGGCAAAAGGGGAAACTAGAGTTAGAAGCGTCACTCAGAGGCTGAAGGATGAGCTCGAGCTTACAATGGCACTATCTGGATGTACCACCATAAAGGATATCACCAGGGGCCATGTGATAACAGACCGTGAGAGACTTCATTCCTCTCTCTGAATTCACGCTGCAGCATCCATGAAAATGAGATTCACATAGTCAAATGGACGATACCATTGTTGTTTTATCACTTGTAGTTTGCCATGTTATGTAATTAGTTGTCATGTTTCATTATCAAAAATAAAATTGGAGTAAGAGTAAGTGCATCAGTATAGATTTTTAATAGTCAAAGCTGGTTTTTTCATGGTTCTTTAGTAGATGTTAATGTTCAATGGTACTTTTGTGCATTAAATTTGAAGCATAAAATCCTTGTAAGACATGAAATTGATCTGCGTCTTCCGACTCTAATACCTTCCAATCAACTTTGTCAAGTATGTATCATCACGAACTCCCCTCTAAATGATACGAAAGAACAGTTCTTCCCCACCGCAAGATGGCTGGGTAAGATTAAGTACAGACATAAGTGCTTTTAGGAAGTTGTTAATAAAATGGATGCTGCTGTGGTCGTGCCTTTCCTGCGAACATATTTTTGCCCCTACTCATCCTCTACTCTCTCCTCTGCAGCCTTGGGGCCTCTGTTTATTAGCTGATACTTCTACCCTCGTAGCCCATGCCAGCAGGTCATAGCCTTTATTCCCGCGTGTACTTCAATGAAATTTAATTTTAGCCTTTTATTCCAACACAAGGTTCACATTGACAAACCAGATTGAAGATTGTCCCGCAAAATCTGATAAGAGATTCCCCAGTCATATACATTTCCCCAGGATCTGCTACAATGTTAAAGTGATTATATTGAGTATCAGACTCTTTCGGCTTATAGAACAGTAAAGACGGAAGAAAATGGAAAAGAGAATGGTTACTGTCATGAAAAATCTCAAATTGGTACATATATGATAATTTTATTACAAATTGATACTTTGACCATCAAAAATTCAAATTGGCAATTGACGGGTGTACCAAATTTGGGATTTTACCCTTTATTTATTATATTAATTTGTGATTTTTCGTGATATTAATCCAATTTAAAGGAGGGTAAATTTGTCACAAATATACAAATTTAAAGTTTTTTATAATCAAAATATTAGTTCAGGATAAATTTATTATAAGTATAATTTTTAGTGATTAAAAAATTAATTTGAGATAAATTTTTCGTATCATGTATCAGTTTTGTTTTTAACGGTACTGACCCAAAGAGAATAATGGCGGGCGGCCTTTCATTGGACGCGATCGCTGGTAAACAGTAAATCCCCCATCCCCAACAGTAACTTCATTGTCATTCTTTAGAGTGACTCCAGTCATTCGGCCAGAGGTTTTGCTCCGTTCGTGTGAAAACCCAAGGCTCCCATTTGCTTATCCTGCGAACCATCGTACCCTTTGGATCGTCTCTCTTCTTTGATTCGAGTGCGCAGCGCAGAGCAACTCCCCTGCTCTGCACTTTTTTGAGCATCCGTATGGCTGAGCATCTGCGATGCAGAAAGATCCCATTCTTTTTTTTTTTTTATCATTGTGCAGTCATGACTAGGAGTGGTTAGGCTAGCGTAAGATTCTGAATACGGTTGGGCTACGCGTTTTAATGTGTTCGTGTTCTGTAGTTGTAGGCTGGTAGCCATGGATACGTCGAGGGAAGTGGGTGCATCACGATCCCTATTCCATACTTTTCACTCTCCTGTTTAGTAATAGTGTGAATTCGTGTGGGCACATTTAACTTGCAATTCTGCCATTAGTTTATGGTAAATTGTTTTAGACCTTCATTTGCGTGAGTGTGTGGTAAAAAAGGTGCCGTTATACGATGCAGTTAGCTTAGCAGCACCCTTAGGAGAAATTGTTAAGCTGTTGAGGGAACAAATGCTTAAATTTTCATTCATGAAACATGGCTGAGGATCCTGTCAACGTCAATGAGTATCAAGAATTGGCTAGGCTAGCCCTTCCGAAAATGTATTATGATTTTTATGCGGGTGGAGCGGAAGACCAGTATACACTACAAGAAAAGGCGGAAGCCTTTCGCAGAATAACGTAATGCCTAATGAATGCTGATCAGATTAACATCTACAGCAACTAATGTATGTTGTTCGGTAATTCTCAACACATGTATTTCTGGCAGGTTTAGGCCGAGAATCCTCATTTATGTGAGCGAAATTAGTTTGTCGACTACTATACTGGGCTATAACGTTTCTGCCCCTATTATGATTGCTCCAACTGCTAGGCATAAGTTAGCACATCCTGAAGGTGTGAAACCTGAAATTTCTTGGAGGAACTCTTTCCCATGTTTGCGTGTTTTGATTTTAGCAATGCAAATTTTCCATCTTCCAGGAGCCACCGTAAGAGCAGCTGCTGCATGTAATGTCATCAGGGTAATAGATTACTGCTATGACATACTCAATTTACCTCTTTACTCTAGATTCTTTCATATATGTCCACGTGCACTGTAGAAGAGGTCGCGTCCAGCTGTGATGCCATTCGATTCTTTCAAATAGATGATTATTTTTCAGACTTTAATATTGATAATTTGTTTCCGCTTTAAAATATTAATCAAAAAATTTTTGATCACCTATTTATCCCCTCTAGATGATTCTTACTATCTACGTCACCCAGCACTCAAAGTGCTTCTTCACATCCACTCTGTTGTAAACACGCCTCACCATCGTTGTATTGCCTGAGCTTCCTGAGTCGACAACAGAAATGACTCTTAAAGCTTCTTCTCCTTGTGGGCCCTCAGAAGTCATCATCACCTCAGAGACCATCTTGCCCATGTCTGATATCTGACCAACAATGTTTGATTCCTTGTCCAAAATATGCGCAATCGAATCCCAGCGATTAGACCGCCCCGCATTCACTAAACAGCGATTCTTTTCTCGGGTCTTGCCAAGGACTCTGCTTTCTTGATTGTTCTGCTCAGAAGAGTGAGAAGGCAAGGCCTTGAGATCGTTCAAGAACTTCTTCAACCCTTTGCCCAAGTCCTTCTGGCTACATAGAAGAGCCAAGTACTGGAACGAAGGGTATGTGTGGATGAAGTCTTTGCGTCGCTGTTGTGCTCTCTTTTCAGGAGGTACGTGTCGACGATGTCTTCGGCATTGTAAATGTAGGGCAAGGCCGGAGAACTGGTGACGTCTGTGTCGTCGGAGGAGCTTAGGAGCTGTTGCAGAGCGACGATGGAGGAGTTGATCTTGCGTTTGAGCCTTGGATAGATGATTTCGCATGTTGCAATTTTTGAAGCTTCTGTTTGAGCAGGAAAGCTCAACTTCTGCAGCCATGGAGTGTGTGTGGGCTATCCGACTCGCGGTCAAACAGGTGTTGGATTTCCGACACGCTGTCAACGCGCCGGACACGCCCCCGACACGCGAGTCCGGAATCCCGACATGCGATTCCGACACGCACCGGTCGATTTTATAAATTTTCAAAAAATTAAGGGTCAAAATGTAAATTTATAAAAAAAATAAAAAGAGAGAAATATAAAGGTAGAAGAAAAAGGGCTAAAACACGCAAGGTCTTTATTTGCTTTGTCTTCTTCTTGACTGACCGTTTCGACCTCCCGATCTCAAAATTCTCTTCTTTCTTCTTTCCGTCGACCACCGGTCCACCGCGAGGCTCTCTCCGCACTGCTCGCCACTACAGCCAGGTAGCAGGTACACTTCTCTCTGTTTCTGCCGAGTGCCCCGGATACGGGTTCTGGTTTTTCTATTGTTTGTCTTGGTGTCGGATTTGATGCTGCAATGATAGCTCGATGAGGGAAGAAGTCGTGATGGGTGGGTTCGGGAGGAAGAAGGAAGAAGTCGTGGGGAAAGGGGGGGAGGGGGCGGGCGTGAGGGCGTGTGTGGGTCGCGGGGGAAGCAGGAAGAAGTCATGGTGGGGGGGGGGGGGGGCGGCGACGTCTGTGGGGGAAAGCAGGAAGGGGGGGAGGCGGGGGGGGGGCGCGTGGGAGGCGGGTGTGGGGGAGGGCGTATGTGGGCGTGTGTTGGGTTGGGGGGGGGGGGAGGCAGGAAGTCTTGGGTGGGGGGAGGGCGTATGTGGGCGTGTGTTGGGGGGGGCCGCGGGTGTGGCTGGAGGGAGGTGGGTGCTGGGGGGAAGGATTTGATGGCCGGGGGTGGGTTACGGAGAGAGAAAGGGTTTGATGGTCCATCTTTTGAACGTTATTTTTTTTGGTTAAGTTTGACGTATATTGTATGTCTCGGACAATGAGGATATTAACAAACGATGAATTAATGTTTTCTAGGCTCTTTTTGTATTATTTATTTATTTGTAGATTTGAACTAAAAATAATAATTTATCACGTATATATAAAAATATATATTTAATATATGTGTCTTAACGTGTTGGAATTCTCTATTTTTTGATAAATGACATGACACGTGTCGTGTCGTATCACGTGATGTCAATTTCAACTTTTCTAGGATCAAGAAATTCGGGACATGCGTCCGAGGAAAACTTTTTTCCATCGAGTATTGGGATATTGAGATTTTTGACATGCTAATCAGGATAGTAACAATTTCGTTTTTTTTTTAGGATTAAGATAAATAGTTCGTACGTTGAGGAAAATATTCTTTCCAAACGGCATATCGAGGAAGAGCATAATAGGTACTGGCCTTTACAAAACAGAACACATATTAAATATTATTCTATTAACAGTGAGAAAAGAATTTACACAATATATTATTTTACCCCATAACCTATTTAACGACATAGACAGTCAATATACAGGATATCTGACCAAAAAATATACAGGATATATTGTTCAATGAATAATATTTGTAATTGGAATGAGTTATTTAACTAAAACTTTCACGGTGTCAATAAACAAGATCAGCCGGTTTAGAATAGTATGAGCCTACAAAATAATTGCTCATGCCCGCCATTGATTGAAAAAACATATTATTTTCTACATAGAACCACTAAGCATCGCGATGGAGCTTGGTCTGCGCAAGGTGGGAGGGCAGTGTCAAACTAACTTTCTTCAATAAAAAGCTTCTTGAATTGATAATTTTTTTAAAAAAAGAATATTTTAACTTAATACGGCCACGATCAAGATGAACATTGCTTTCCCAAATCGGTCCACACGATCCCTTCATAGGGGCGAGCATTGTTTCAGGATAGAACCGGACCCGGTAGGAATTGGTCCAGTTCCAGGTTATGGTGGAATTCAGTCCGATTCTCGGTTCCATATTTTTTGGAACCTGTATTATTCGGTTCGGTTCCTGGTTCCTGGGGAGGAACCAAGCTGAACCGGACCGGGAAGCGGACCAATTTTAATGTCCCTGTAAATACCCATTGAACCTTGGTTTTTTACTTTTGGCAAGTTATGTTGCTTATCTCTTGATTTTCTAATATATGGACGATCAGTCTACCATCCGGAGTAATCTGCAATATGCTGCTATGAGTGCTTTGAGAAGACTCCCCCTTGATCTGGGAATCCAGTATTTCTTCATTGCTCGGTTCAGGGGTAAGATTTTGTTTATCTGGGTATTCAGATATTTTTGTGACAAATACTCTGCTGTGGAATGTATATTTGACAATTTTTATTATCAGGCATTTGTCAATCTGTATATTTAATAATAATTTTAATTAAAAACTATTATTAAGTAATTGACTATGTTTGTTGTTTCTTTTGAATTCAAGTGGTCTATAATTTAGGTTTTTACGTGTTTTGAATTTTTTTTATTATTATTATTATTATTATTATTATTATTTTAAATGTTTATCTCTCTTGGATTGTTGCTATTGATAAATGGGGAATTTTCATTTTTGTTGTTGCATTCACTTTCATTTTGCTTAACTAAAAATGAAATAAAAAAAAAGGAATTTGGTCGGTTCCCGGGTAGACCCTAGAACCGATCTTGAAACCTGTGATAGGGTAGGTTCCAGGTTTCCAGGGTAAACATGGTAGGTTTCAAGTTCCAAAAACTGGAAACCGGTCTCGACCGGTAAGTTCTAGATATTAGGTCCCAGGTGAAACCTGGACTAACCCTGAACCGCTCACCCCAATCCCTTCATGCCAACAAGGCCTCGATGGGGGTGGGCTGCTACCTGCTAGGCATGTGACCATCTTTGCTAGTCAACCATCAATTAACCTCATAAAATCCCTCCTTAGATAATCACTCTAATGTTTGTAACATATACATATCACTATCTTTTCATTTTATGGACTCGAAATTTACTTGCTCAATGTAAGTATCATTGTTAGAAAGAAAAAACTAACATTCAGGAAATCATTATATCGTCCCTTGACCGTGTCTCCACTAAGAATTTTATTTGGTATCCTCATTTAGTGATAGAAAAGATGAATCCTTCATGAGCGTTGAATCTTGATGTTGAGAAGATTGACTAACAAGTTACACTTCATGATGTGTCATTTCGCTTTCAAGTTTAAGTGAACATAGTTGCCTCAGGTCGCATTTGTGGCACACTCATGACCTGCAACCTTGGTCATTAGTCGATTGCGTGGGATAGGGGGACTATGGTAGTGAGATTAGTTGGGGATTAAGGGTCTTAAGACTAAGATTGCATTTTCCAGCATAAGGTGCAATAAGAAAACAGAAAGAGGACGTTGCACATAACCCTGAACTCTGGGATTAATATGCATCTACCCTCAAACTTTCAATTGTTATACAATATCACATGAAATTTCATTTTGTTGCGACCGCTAACTCTCCATTATTTTGAATCAGGGTATAAGTGTATTTTTACATTGTTTTTATCAAGGAAATCTCTCTTTAACCCTTAATTGCCCTACAAATGATAGAATGAAACAGGAGAAAGAAAAATTAACGAAAACACTAGTAAGCGAAAAAATAAATATCGGTAATAATATTCAAAAATCAAAATTCATTGAAATTCGATAGATATAGCCACTTCAATAGACGTAATTAACATAATTTAAGAAAAAGAATAAACACGAATTCTTTATTCATTATGTATCTTTAAAGTGATTTATTAATGTAAAAATGATTTGTTTGAAAAATATTTAAAACGCTATAAAAGGAAACGATGTCCTCAACTCATACAAAGACAAAGTTCACCGAAATATAAGGTGATCTTTTAAAATAATTTTTATTGATCAATTATTTTTTACATTAATTGGCCTTTTAAATATACATAAAGAGTATCTATCTTCTGCAATTTAACACTTTGTTATTAAGGCTTTTTGCAATTTTACTCAAAGTTCTTCAAATATGTTATTTGGTTCTCTTAATATATTCATCAAACTTTAACAAGCTTTTCAGTATTATGTTAATATTTTGGTTAATTTATTTTTCTTTCTTTTCTGTTATTTTCATTTTTTTACAACAATTAAAGATAAAATAAATATTTCATTTAAAAAAATGAGATGAAAATATATTTTTACCTCTTAAAAGTCATGCACAATATGCTAATGGAATAATAATGAAGGGTTAACGGCAGCAACAAAATGAAAATTTAGAGGGAAAAGATGTAACAGTAAAAAATTTAGGGGCAAACTTGTATTATCGACAATGTTTCGGGGGTTGCGTAATTTCCCCACAAAGAAAAGATTATATCCACTTCTACGAATGCAATGATAATCCTAGTGCATCCTGTTCTCAAACCTACTGCCATGCATAATTTCCTTGACTTCCATTTGTTTTATGTCGGCGGGGAAAGAGTTCTTCCGTAATATTTACTCACTGTATCAATGATAATCCTTGCAGTAGGGAAAACAAGAAGGAAAACAAATGCGGTTCTCTTCGCATGAAAGTCATGGTCCGAATCGCTTGTTATATTATCCGTGTAATCCAAATCCCCGCAGCCAAGACGACACAATTTCAACTTGAATGATGAAGATTGTGAAAAATTTACTCAGAAGAACATATTAATAAAATGATGTGATAAGCTCTTGGGAAGTGAATGAATATGTCTCGTCTATTCGAATGCCAATTTCATTGTTTTTAGAAAAAATTATTGGTAAACATATCTTCAATCTGAAGTACTTTCGTCCCTTATTTTTCTTTACCTTTTCTTTATTCGGGACTTTGGTCTTTTCTCTTTAATAAAGCTGCAATTATTGTTCTTCACGTTTGCAGACTTCAGTATTGGCTCTGTCCTGTGACAGTATGTTCGATGTTTCTAGGATGCCTTGCACAAACTTGAACATGGCGTGTTCAGGCCTACTTCCTTTTGATTATAAAGTGAACAGACGCTTGCTTGGTGCATAATTAAAGTCCAGCTGAGTGAACTGACTCCTGGTGAAATAAACTTGCTCCTCTCTCTCTAAACCTGACTTACCAAATTTTCATCTCCATCTCATCCCTCCCTATTTCTCAGAGAAACAGAAAACCCATCCTATATGGAGGAGGCGCTTCGTGCGGAATTCTGGAGGACGCTTTGGAAGTTGTGGGGGCTAAGAGCCATGGTGCTGTTCATGCTCGCAGTCCAAATCGTACTCATCCTCTTCGGCCACAAGAGGAAGTCCAGCCGCAATCTCAAACTCAGGATCGCCGTCTGGTCCGCGTACTCGACTGCGGACTCCTTGGCCGGCCTCGCCCTTGGTGTCCTCTCCAACAAGCTCGGAGAAGTGAATGAGAGAAACGGCGGTCGCCTCAGCGACAACGACAAGTTGCTCGCACTCTGGTCCCCACTGCTTCTGCTTCTCTTGGGTGGCCCTGACACAATCACTTCCTATTCTATGGAGGACAATGCACTCTGGCTCAGGCAGTGCCTTGGCCTAGCGGCTCAAACATCAGCCACGGCATATATCATCTTCATGGCCTGGACAAGCTCTTATCTCTCGTACCTCTCATTGGTGATAGCATTGGTCGGGCTCGTCAGGTACGGGGAGAGAGTGTGCGCTCTTTGGATGGCGAGCAACGACAAGCTCAAGCAGTTGGCACTCGGCCCGCCTTATCTGAGCACGAGTTACCGCCACTACATGGAGGAGTACACTATGAAGCAGGCCGAGGGGTATTACGTTGTGGCGGACGAGGTGATTGAGGTCCAAGTGCCAGAAGGTATTCCTAGTGGTGGTGATGATCTGTCTACAGTGATCGATTCTGAGGTCATTGGGACAGCCTATGGCCTGTTCCAGATGTTCAAGTGCCTCTTTTTTGAGTTGACACTCAGCCATGCGGAGAAGAATACTAGCACATCCATATTCAAGGCAATCGATTCGGAGAAAGCTTTTGGGATAGTTGAGATCGAGCTCGGGTTCCTCTACGACTTGCTCCACACAAAGGCAGGGGTGCTTTACACCAAGTGGGGACTCCTACTCCGCTTGTTCACTTTCTCGTCCATTCTGTTGGTGCTGGTGCTCTTCTCTTTAGCCAAGAAGTCGCACCTAGCGAGAGTCGATCTTTCCATCACTTACTTGTTGCTGGCTGTCATTGTTTTCTTTGAGACCTATTCGATTTTGATGCTGGTTTCCTCGGATTGGAGCGACCTTTGGTTGGGCAAGCACAACAAGAACCGTGCCTTGAGATGTGCCGCGAACTTTATAAGATTGCCTAGACAACCCAGGTGGTCACATTCAATTGCCCAACTCAGCTTGCTCAGCCTTTGCAGTAAAGAGAGGCCCTTGGTTTGCCAAAATGTGCTTGAGTTCTTGAAGATCAGTGAGAAGCTAGAGAAGTATCACTACATCCTCCATGAAGACGTATCCAACGAGATTAAGACTTGGATCTTCCATCATGTCAAGGACGAACTTTACAATGTGGAGGAGCACCACGCGCCGGTCCACGTGGATATTGAGAAAAGTCTTGCTAGGCTACTCAAAGGTTATGGCCTCGCTCAAGCTAAGTGGGCCACCGAAGGGGATTTCTACCAGGTTGTCCTAACTTGGCACATTGCCACCGAACTATCGTACTACTCGGATACAGTGAAAGGGCAATGGGAATCCGACCTCCCTCATTTTCGGCTGAGCAAGCTTCTCTCCAGGTACATGCTTTATCTTCTGGTCATGAACCCTTCTATGCTGCCCGTAGGAAACAGGGAAATAAGCCTCCGCGATACTTTTGCCGAGGCCTTCAAATTTTTTGAGGATAACCAAATACCCAAGTCCGAATCTAATCGAGAGCCCTATCGGTGGATAAAAAATCTAGTGATCAATAGAGGGAAGAAAAATGAAATGAACTCGTCGTATCTTCAGCGAGCTTCCAGACTGCTGCTAGAGAAGAGCAACAAGGTTCTACTTCCACCAACTAAAATGATAGGCGGAAAGAGCAAGTCTGTGTTCTATGATGGATGCCGGATCGCGGAGCAGATCAAAGAGAGGGAAATTAGTCTAAAGTGGGAAGCGATCGGGAAGCTCTGGGTGGAGATATTGATATACGTTGCGAGGCAATGCAAAGGGGATCGTCATGCTGGGCAGCTGAGGCGAGGGGGAGAGCTTCTGACCCATGTTTGGCTCATGATGGCTCATTTCGGCCTGACTGATAGTTTTCACAGGAACGAAGGGCGGGTCATTGCTAAGCTCATATTGAGATAGGCCTTGATCCCGAGTGAGGACTAATTCTTATGCGGGTTTGGTCCGTCTCGATCGCCATTGGAAAGTCTTGCGGATAAAAACAACAAAATTCTAGCTTACGTATGTACACTTTCATTGCGTAAAGTTGAGGCGATCAGTCAATTTAACATCGTATTTTAAGTGGATGATGTGAGCCAATTTAGTTACTGATCTAAGTTTGAAGAAAAGACTTGAGAACGTCATTTTTCCTTCTTTTGGTGATATTGTCTGACGAGATAAAATTCCGAAACGCAAGAATCATTACGATTTATGATTCTTGTTTGTTCTGCGACTAGACTAACATTTTGACTGGCAAACCAACACCATACCCGACTTGGATTCATCGGCTTAAAATGTCCGAAATCCTATACACAGAGGAATAGCAGGTGTCTTATTTACCAAAGAAGTTCTAAACCTATTGCAATTGTATCAATTTAATTCTAAATATTTTTTTTTGCCAATTGAGCCCTAAACCTTTTGCATTTGTGCCAATTCAGTCAATTCGGTCAATTTTGGCCGGAAATCGTTGACATGGGCGTCAACTATCTTACGTGTCGTGACGTGTTGCGACCAGCACTAACGTGGACAATTTTTAATAATATTTTATTATTTTTTTCTTTTATTTTCTTTTTCCTTTCTTTCTTCCTTTAGCCGGTCGCCGGACCTTGGCGACCCACTAGAGGTGAGGGCCAGTGAGGTCGAGGCAAAGCTTGCCCCCACCAGCCACTAATGAGGGCAAGCCTCGCCTACACCTGACGAGGTGAGGTCGAGCCCTTGCCATAGCTGGGCGAGGTCGGCCTCTTGTTGTGATGTTGCTAGGGTTCCTAGTGCCCGTGTCTTTTTCGCTTCGATTCGACTTGTCATCAGGCCACACGAAGTGCAAGTACACCATCGTCAACCCTCACGAAGGCTATCCCTTGCCTGAATCTCGTAACCTCTTCGTCCGGGTGAGCTTCCTTTCAGAATTCAGACTATTTCCTTGTGTTGAAACCTTCCTTCTTACGCACAATTCCATTGGGTCGAGAACCTTTTGTTGTGGTTTTGTTGATTTAGTTTTTTTCCCCCTTTTTCCTGGTTGATTTGTTGTTAGGTAACTTCTCTTCGCGGGACCAGCTATCACTAATCGGAAATAGTGGAGTCGGGGCAGTTCGCATTCGTGGTCGGAGAAGCTGGGGGTTGCACAGCTTTCTTGTGGGGAAAAGTGTCAGAAAAGTTCTAAACCTATTGTATTTATGTCAATTTAGTCCTAAACCTTTTGTTTTTATGCTAATTCAGTTCTTTCGACTAATTTTAGTTGGATTTTGCTGACGTGGACGCCGGTTGGCTTACGTGGCACCGCCGGCGATGATGTGGACAACTTTTAATAATATTTTAATAGTTTTTGAATTTTGAATTTCTTTTCTTTTCTTTTCTTTTTCTTTTCCTTTCTTCTTCCTCCAGCCGATCGCTGGTCCGGCGATCGGCTGGAGGCCATTCACTAGCCGTCGGTCCGGCGACCGGCTGGAGGCCATTCGCCGGCTGCTGGCGAGGCCATTCGCCGGCTACTGCGATGGCGAGCCTCACCCTCGCCAGCGACCGGGCGAGGCACAACCTCACCGGATTTGGCGAGATCAGGCCTCACCCATGGCCGGCGAGGCTCGACCCTTGCTAGATCTGGCGAGGGCTCGACCCTTTGCCAACTCATATGTACGTTTGATGCGAATGCCTGTGAGCTTTAATAATTTGGTGAAGTCGAATTTGGAAGTTCTCTTTTATTACGAACTTGATTTGCAGAGAATCTCTAAGGTATATTAGTGTACCGTACCCTCACTTTTTTTACAATTGTTTTTACACTTGGTTACGACGTTGTGTTGTAATGTTGTAAATCAATTTTACGGCGTATTACAACGTTTTTGTATTTAATTATGACGACACGTCGTCATCTTATGCGGTACACCTGAGGCATCATTGTAGTGCCCCTGATTCCTGTTGTCATGTTGCAATCTTGTAGTTTCTCTTTTGTTACTCTGTTTTTTTCCTTAGAGAACAAAAAAAACTTCAACCTAATGTGCGTTTGTTTAACGGAAAACGTAACGTTTTTTGAAATGTTTTCCGGAAAACCATTTTCTAGGAAAATAGTTAGTTTTCCTTTATTTGGTGATATGTGATATGGTGTTTGGATCTCATTTGGAAAATGATTTCGATCCCATGATTTTATCTTAGGCAAAAAAATAATTTCGAATTTTTTAATATTTTTATTTTTAAAAATAAAAAAGAAAAAGAAAAGAAAGAAAAGAAAGAAAAGAATAAAATATTAAAAAAGTCAAGGGAAGCAATTCTGAAAAGTGTTTTCTTCTTGGGAATTCATTTTCCTAATTTTATACATGAATGTTTTTCTTGACTGGAAAGTGATTTCAGTTGACTAGTCATTTTCGGCGAACCAAACTAGTGAAAGTCTAGAAAACGGATTCCCGGAAAACACTTTCCCTTAAACAAATGCACCCTTAAGTCATTGGGACGTTACCGACATTCCGTGGAGTTAAAATGTGACATCCCGATTTTTCATAATAATATTTATGTGGTATTAGGAATTTTCGGTGTCCGAAAATTATTTAGCTTAGAATTCGGGTGGACATGTAGAAATCTTAGTTGGATCATAAATTTTGCGGGGTATGAGAAACGTGGAAGATGATTTTCCACGAACGTAATCATTTCGAGTCCGACGCGTTGAAATTCTAGGGTGATGCTAATTGTCGATGGGGACGGATATTTTTGAAATTATAAAATTATCGAGTATGGATTTGCTAAATCGAGATTTTCTTAGCATTGGGTATGATTTACTAATAATTTTGGTAAAATCATGTGTCATGGATTACATTATTAATTTTTAATCCTAGTTAACTAATAATAATTCACTTACGTTAATGACCTCACTCACTTGGCCGAAAATGGATAACCCCTCTTTCACAATGATCACATTCTTATCTACACATATTGGGTCACTAATATCCATTTGTTCTTTTGAGAGCTGCATGATTAGGCCATTTGCCTATTCTAAGCTAAGACACGTAAGACCTCTTGTGGTATTTTGAGATAACATGCATGGCCACATGTCCTATTGCATAAATGCTAGTTGTTTTCTTAAGGTGAAGACATTTAGGCCACTTGTCTCTTAAAGAAAGAAACTTCGCATCAGAGGCCACATGTTCTATTCTACTCTTGCATGAATGGTTAAGTTGTCTTCTTGAGGTGAAGCCACTTATACATGTAGGCTGGGCATCATTACTTCTCCTATGAGGTAATCCACTCTTATGTTCTAATTGTACAACACATAACAATGCAAAATGTAAACTTTGTAAGCTCATCACACGGAGCCTTCCTTCTTCATGCAAGCTTACACTTGTGCTCTCTTTACCTAAGAGTAGGCACACTAGTTCTAAGGGGGAGGAAAAGTATAAACCTTAGATGAAAATAAACCTTTTTACCAAAAACACTTCGAGGGGAAATGTTTAGCTTCTTCTGAAATCCTTGGGGGGAAATGAACGATTTCATTTTTTCAAGAGGAAATTCAAGATTTCATTATGATTGGAGGTAAGTGAAGACTCTAGAGTTAAGTTAGATTATTCTACTTGTCACTTTTAACTTGGATGGTTGTGATATGCTAGTTTAATGTGTTATAATATTGAGAATATGGTGATCGTTTTTATGCATGTTTAAAAGGTAGATAATCGTTTTTACTTAAAGTGGAGTACTTTTGGTGAGTAGAAATGATGAATCAAAACTTGAAAAGGTCATATTTGCAGGTTCAGACTTAACCGTCGTTCGTAAAATCTATTGATTTCTGAACTGGAACAGATTTTACTCTATGAATCTAGACATATTGAATTCTGAACTCGAGTAGACTTTACATTCAAAATTTGGATATATGTATTTCTAAACTCGAGTAGACTTTACTTTCAAAACTTGGATATATGTATTTCTAAACTTGAGTAGACTTTACCTTCAAAAATCTGGATTTATGTATTTTTGAACTCAAGTAAATTATTACTCTCAAAATTTGGACATGTCTATTTTCTGAACCCAGTAGATTTTACTCTCAAAATCTGGATATGTATTTTCTAAACCCAGTAGATTTTACGCTCAAAATCTGTGTATATTTATTTTTGAACCCGAGTAGATTTTTACTCTCTAAATCTGAGAATAGCTTGGAATGTGCATGTGGTTTGAAATTCGTGTATTTGAGACTAATGTGCAGGTTGAGCCCAGGGAAGTACATTTGTGTGTGTAATATGTATGTATTGAACGATTGGGTGTTTGGACCTGTCTGGAGATACGTGGTAGCTTAAGTGGGGTTTAGGCTGTCAACTTATTGAGAGTTGTCTCATGGTTGTTTAACCAAATTATTTCAGAACCCCGCCCTGAGCCATGAATCCACCACTGCCACTACCGCCCCGGCGTTTTGGTATACCAATGCACACCGAGCATTCAGTTGTAGAGTATCTGGTAGACGACAATTTGGCTTGGATCAAACATACGATCGTAGTCTGGGTGGACTTAGGGGTAGAGCCAGAGGAAGAACCAAGGGAGGAGCATAAGGAAAATTTGCAGGAAGAGTCTGAGTCCGAGGAACGAATTGAGGTGCCACTAAAGTCGGGGGATGAGGATAACCCGATCGAGATCGAGGCAGACTCCGAGTCTTCAGAGGAGCACGTGCATAAGGAGGATTCAGATTCGGATTCTGGGGAGACCGAATCGGAATGGACGCCGTCTACAAGGCGTAGGGGCTAGACTAGGGGTAGCCAAGCTTTTTGAAGTGTCCCATTTTTGGAAATAGAATATACCCAGACTACTAACCTTTTTGGAGATGATGACGTGACCCGAAGAAGCTAGTTTGTATGTGTATTATAGGTTGATGTAAATTTGGTGAGTGCTCGAAGTAACTAATGGTTGTGTATTGGATGAGAATGGATATTGTATATATCTCGAGGTGTAATGTTATGTTT